AAGGCCACCCGGGGATAGTCGTGATGAAGAGCAGATTGAGGACCAAAGTATAGTGGCCTAAGTGCGACAAAGATGCTAAAAACATATGCAAAGCCTGTAAAGGATGCATCCTGGTCTCTGCTCCCAGCGCCCCAAACCCTTAAAAAAAGAAGAGATTTACCTTCCGAACCATGGGTTGACATAGCAATCGACCTCATGAGCCCATTACCTAGTGGAGACTATATCCTGGTAGTCGTGGATTATTATACCAGATATAAAGAAGTGAAAACATGCAGAACCATAGCAAGCTCTGAAATAATTAAAATGCATAAAGAAATTTTTAGCAGACTTGGCAATTCAGTCCTGCTCACATCAGAAAATGGTAGACAATTTTCCAGCGAAGACTTTAAGAGCTTCTGCGCAGAGAGGAACATACGACTCTACAATACCATTCCTTACTGGCCGCAACAAAACGGAGAAGTGGAGCGCCAGAATAGGGACATCCTAAAACGCCTCAAGATCTCTCAAGTAGAGAAAAAGAACTGGAAAGAGGCTCTCCAGGAGTACATGGTGATGTACAATAGTACAACTCACACAGTTACAGGAAAAACACCTGCAGAAATGTTCTTTCGACGGCAATTTCGAAACAAACTGCCGATGATCAAAGACATAACGCATCTTTCAGAGGATCTTGAAATGAGGGATAGAGATAAAGAACTAAAGGAATAAGGGAAGGAATATACGGATAGGAAGAGAGGGGCTACTAACTGTGAATTGGAAGTCGGAGATAAAGTATTCGTCAAGAATATCACTAAACAAAACAAGCTGAGCTTAAACTATGAACCCTAAACACATACCGTCGAAGCGAACAAAGGAGGGGACGTAATTCTACGGAACGATGAAACTGGTCAGCAAATCAGACGGATCGTCGTACATCTAAAACGAGTGGAAGGGCAATGGAAGGTATTAGATGATGAAAATAATGCTAGTGGTGCTCAAACTAACGATAATGGTGACGTTAATCAATCACAACTCGAGTCAATAAAATTATGGACGATAATAACAAAATAATTGATGATCAGTGATTGAACATAATTTAAATAAGAACTTGCTAATTGTACTTGATATACTCACTTATGTAAAAAGGAAAATATTTCATTAAACTACTATACGAATAGGTAATTATGTATTTTATTTGTAAGTTAAGCTGATCACGGTTCCTTAACTCGATATGGTTATTTATATTTGTATATATATTTATATTAGAAAAAAACATTAATAAGGGAGGGATGTAACGTATAGACATTTATAGTGGTGTATAACTCTGTGTTCTCGAGAAGCGCACGCGCGGAATCGCGGAGCGGGGCGGCACTGCCCGACCGACTGCCGCAGGGAGAAGACGTAGACGCTTACTACGAGCCGATATCAGTGTATAATAATGTGTTACTTGTAATATATACTACTTACAATACTGCTACTTGTTCTTCCTAAATATTGATCCCTGGGATCTACAGCACATTACACTAATCTTAATTTTTTTTACTATAGATAGCTGTATGTAGTTATGTATATACAGCTATCTATACTATAGACGGTTATATTTATATTTTTAAGGGATTAGGGTTCAATTAAAGACGTATTATAGATTTCAGTAATATAAACATTTATTTTTGTTATATTTTTACACAAACAAACACGATTTAAAAGCGTTTATTCTGCAAAATACAAACACCAAACCAAATTAAATATGTCCATCGGTTTACCAGAATGATAAATGAAAGCGTCTATTTCGCACAACACTACACAAACATACAATGTGGTTCCAGCATGAAAATCTAAACAGACAACAAGAAACAGAGGGCTAATGCCAAATCGACCAAACTTATTGTAGCAACAACCGAAAATCACTTATATGGCAAAAGCGTTCGTGAAAACAACAACTTGCTCACACGCCAGTAGCCATTATGTCGTATTAAGTTAAAGCTACTTGCCAGTTCGAGAATAACCAGAATTGGTGTAGTCGCCATCTAGCGCACCTCTTAGAATTTAATATTCGAAAGTTTATGCGGATATCGTACAAGATGGCACTTGTGTCTTTGCAAATTATTAGACCCCAACCTAAAGTATGGAAGTGTACCGCCCCTGGGTCTGACTAATAGGTCCAATATACTGACGTACCTACACGAGTAGTTCAAAAACAACCACAGATTAGTGTAAAATTCGAATTTTCAAATAAAATAGCATTTGACAAGAAGAACAAAATCGAAAAACACCAAAATAAGGTGGATACATCACAGACAGACGACTTAGAAAGCAAGGTAAGAGAATACGAAAGCTTGCTTTGTCAAAATGATAAAAGTGCAGAAGAATGAGTACAGAACTGGATATACCGTCTTAACGCGTTATTATACTAAATCTTGGAAATACTATGTTGGTGTGATTGAAAATGCATATTTGGCTACAAGAAAATACACTAACTCGGCAAAAAAGGAAATGTTAAATGTGTTGTTCCTAAACGAAAAGATCAAGACCGCTTACCTGAAGTTTCAATCGTTAAAGAAATTGAATTGTTTCAGATAAATGAAGAACCCGATGAGTATCTGCTTATGAACGACAGTGACGAGATTTATTTCTAAAATATTTCACTAGGTCGTCTAAAATAATAATGAATGTGGCCGAAAAAACAAAGCTGTTTTGGGAAAGGTTGAAACTCAATTTGTTGCGAATGTGTATTACCGATAGTGCCTTCACTCACATTCATTATAACCCTTGTCGCAATGTAATGAATATTTTTTTGCTAAAAATAATTTACTTATAGAGAAACATTAAGTGTATTGATTTTATAATAACTTTATTAAAAATACAAATGTTTAAAAATGTAAGTTTATTTACGAACGTTACATACTCGATACCAAATATAAAAAAGGGATGCTATGTTTATGTTCTGAATGTTTTCATAGTATATTTGATTGTTTTTATATTTTTGTAAATGTTCCAGGGTCACCCACGAAATTCAAATTTTCTTGAGCATTTTTTTTTTGCAAATTTCAGCTCAATTAGTTCGTGTTGATAAAAATACGCGAGTATGGCAGCAATGTTTTTAATCGTTCAATCAATACGGCTCTATAAGTTTTGATTGTTTACAAATATGACTGGTTCAATAAAAAAGGACAACCATTTCAGCCATTTCGATTATTTTCATGATTCTTAATGAGTAAATAAATATCTAAATGCGCAACATTTCCTTGCACTGAAAACCCTCTCGGAAATGAGAGAAGGCCTGTGCTCAGCAGTGGCACCAAAAATTAATATTAAAAAACTGAAGGTAGCCGGACTAACTATGACATTGGGACGTCAAACATCTCAGTCCCCCCGTGACCATGGGTGCTGTAAAGCACCCGAAACGTCGGGATAATAATAAAAATAAATTAAAGTAATTAAACGCGATAAAATCCGTAAATAATAGTTTTATTCAATGGCTAAAGTTGCTACACTTTATACGACATAATGGCTACCGGCGTGTGACCAAGTTGTTGTTTTCACGAACGCTTTTGCCATATAAGTAATTTTCGGTTGTTGCTACAATAAGTTTGGTTGAGTTGGGATTAGCCCTCTGTTTCTTGTTGTCTGTTTATATTTTCATGCTGGAACCACATTGTATGTTTGTGTAGTGTTGTGCGAAATAGACGCTTTCATTTATCATTCCGGTAAACCGGTGGACATATTTAATTTGGTTTGGTGTTTGTATTTTGCAGAATAAACGCTTTTAAATCGTGTTTGTTAAATAAATATGTATAACAAAAATAAATGTTATTATTACTGAAATCTATAATACGTCTTTAATTGACCATTCCCTTAAAAATATAAATATAACCGTCTATAGTATATAATCATATATATATATATATATATATATATATATATATATATATATATATATATATATATATATATATAATCGGAATCTCAGAAACGGCTCCAACGATTTTCATAAAATTTTGTGTGCAGGGAGTTTCGGGAGCAATAAATCGATCTAGCTAGGATTTATTTTTAGAAAATGTCTTTTCTCCGTATTTTTAGGCAATGAAAAACTGCTACAATATCGTTAGAATAAGAAGGTAAATTTTGACAGTTTATTAATGATTACAAATAGCTTAATTGGTATATTGGGCGGTCACAAAATCGTAATACCATGGTTCGAGCTCAGACCGACCGACCGACTTTTTAATTTGTTTTTTCAAGTTCCTTTCTTTTTTGAGAAAATCTATTTTTTCGAGCCCTTTTTTTAGTATTTTTTAAAAACACTAAAATTTAAATTAAACTAATTGCACTCATGATTTTTTATTCAAATAACCAGTTCAGTTTTTTCTGTTATGTCGCCAAGATCAAAAAATATTATTAGTAATTCATCAGTATGTAATTTGTATCTAAATATGATTTCCAAAACACACGAATTAAAAAAAACCGAGCGAAAAATACCGAGCAAAGCTCGGTCAACCGGGTACTCATTTTCGAAACCTCTCAAGTGTCAGCCAACATTTAATTGTAAATCAAAATGACCTATGTGTCTGTTGTACACATAGGATTTTTTAGTAACAATTTTATTTCATAACATTGCAAATTAAATTATCCTATGTGATCACTACACTACAATTTCGCGTCTATTTTGTGCTAAAAAGAGAATACATTATTTCGTCACGCACGCAATAAAGTGAGATAGATGCGTCAAATCTAAACATTCGTCCCTAGGTCAAGGCCATGCGTCAGTGTAGCTTCAACTTGTCGCGCGTAAACACTTTCTTAGCGTTGTTACTTTAGTAATTATGTCAAAAAAATATAAAACTACTGGCCGGGGTCATCGAATGATAAATTTAGTGCTTCAATCTGAGTTTGCTGACGATAATACCGACCGCGTCGCCTCTGTCGCCGCCGCCGCATCGGTGAAATCTCCTCCACATCTTGACGATTCATTGATTACGCCAGATGATTAAGGATTAATTAACCATGAATCTATATCTCCGATGTCCGAGATGCCATCACTTTTGCTGTCACCAACAACTACTGCGGATATTATGCCAATCTTGTTCATTAGTGATGAAGAAGAAGAGCCTGATATCTACTCGGGCTATCGTACATTCCAATTTAGAAGGTAGTAATGAGGTAGTCAGCAGTGCAGCAAATGAAAATCTGAACAATAATTCCGTATCATCACAATCAGTACGTTCTGCCAAGCTACCATCTCCAGACTGGATGCCATTCTCTCACTTGGGAGCGATGACAGTGTGCAAGACCCACACTGGGTTCCTCCCTCAGAAAAAAGTAAACGGCGGTTGTCTGTATCTGACAGTGAAGATGAAGTCCCATTGTTGCTATTAAGAACGAGTGAGCCAAGCTCTTTAGAAAATATACTACCGACAGACGAGGACATTGAACACCATTTCAGGTCTAAAGAAAACGTTGTGCAATTAAATAGAAAAGCTAGAGTTTTAGGTAAGTCCTACCTGGGATTTAAGAAGAGTGATAATGGGAAATATAAACCCTGTGTTGAAAAACCAAAAAGAGAAATCAAACCTCGATGTTCTCACACAAAATTGAACACCGATTCAAAACATAAAAACTCATTCTTGTGTGCATCCATTACGGAAGAAGATCGTAAAGCTATTCATTCATATTTCTGGGGCCTTAAAACATGGGCCGAAAAGAAAACGTTCGTGAGGACTGCTGCTGTTCGTAGATTAATTAGACGTCGTCGCCGCAAAGACCAGACTTCAATGAAAAAAGGAAGTGGACATGATATTTTTTTGAACACTTGCGAAGAAAAGTGCACTAAAGTTCGGGTATGTAGACTGTTTTTTTTTTAAATACTCTATCTTTAGGTAAAGACAGTTTTAAGCGCTGGACAAAAGAATCTGACACGGTTAATGAAGATCTTCGTTTTGTTGATTCACCCACACTTGACATCGAAAATACATCGAGTGCAGCACTGGTACCAAAGTATACACACGTAACACAAAAAGTAAAAATTTGGATAGACTTGATTCCTAAAGTACCAAGTCATTATTGCCGAGCGAGTTCCAGCAAGCTGTATGTTGAGTCGACATTTAGGTCTGAAAAACACATGCATGACGTTTTCGTGGAATGGTGTAGAGAACACAGTTACCGAGCAGCAAGCAGACCGACTTTCCTAAGAGCTCTGAAACAGGAGAATATAGCAATTCACCATCCACGCAAAGATCAGTGTGATATTTGTTGTAGTTTTAAATCGGGTAATATTTCACAAAACGAGTATGATGATCACATAATTAAAAAGAATGAAACACGCCAAGCTAAAAAAGATGCCATAGAATCGGCGAACGAAAAGGTTGTAGTAATCACAGTGGATGTGCAGAGTGTCCTACTCGCACCTAAGCTTTTGGCCAGCTCTTTATATTATAAACTTAAGTTACAATGTCATAACTTTACTGTCTATGACTGCAAGAAGAGAAAAGTAACTATTTACTTTTGGCATGAAGCTAATGGGGGCGTATCCGCAAATGAGTTTACTTCTTGCTTAATCGATTATATAGCAAACCTAGCGCCGGAAACTGAACAAGTCACTGTAATTTCTGATGGGCGTGGCCATCAAAATCGAAACCGGATTTTGTCCAGTTCTTTAAGTGATCTTTCGCAAAGAATGAATATTAGTGTTGAGCAGTTGTACTTGGAAAAAGGCCATACCATGATGGAAGTTGATAGTGTCCATTCAACAATTGAACAGTACATTAAACCCCCCATTTATGCACCGAGTGACTATGTAGCTCGAATGCAGCAAGCTCGACCAAGAAATCCTTACGATGTAAAGTCAATCCACTACGACTTCTTTCTTAATTATGAAGAACCAGAATCCAACTTCAAGTCTATAAGACCAGGTAAGAAAAAAGGTGATCCAGTTGTGGTCGATATACGAGGACTGAAATACTTGTCAGATGGGTCTGTCTTATGTAAATTGCGACATCCTGACGAATGGATCATCCTATCACAGCGAAGAGCTAGTCGTGGAAGTTTACTACCACAGCAACTATATCAACAGCCCCTCAAAATCACAGAAAGCAAATACAAACATTTGCAAGAATTAAAAAGTGTGATTGATAAAGATTATATAGTAACTGAAGATAATTATTGTTTTTGCATAACTGATTTAATAAAAACGAAATAATAATGATAGTACCTAGTTTCATTTCAATAATAATGTTTTATTATTCTATAGAAACCACCTATGTGACAAAAAGTTGCAATTTTAAATCTCCCATGTGTAGAAAAATAATTAAAATTATATAATTAGTCCATTTAACGTATGATATAAAATTATTTATATTTCAATACATTGGAACCACTTTGTTTTTCTTTATAACCAAGGGAATAAAAATATTTTCTAAGATTTTTTTGTAGCAGGAAGTTAATTTCGTTTTTCTCGAAAAGTTACTTTTTACACATAGGAGATTTTAAATTTACAACGACGATATATATATATTGTTACGAGCGTGAGGTGAGGAGCGCGTAACAATATTATGTTTACTAAACCTTTAACTAGTACTCAATTTTGAAGGAATTTTTAGAAAATCCTTCAATATGTTATTACTTGGATAAGATCGAATGTTTTCTTGTTATAGAGCTTACTCTCATTGTTATAGTGATGGTTTTAGAAAGTAGTCCGGTCTTACCCCATCAAGGTCCGAACTTTCTCTCGATGTTTTGAATAGTCATGTTTTCTTTGATCATGATCAAACTCCAATGCTTGTGGTTATTAAAACATCACATATAGAAAACGAAACCCTTGCTTATTTGCATACTATTAGATACTATTGAATTAGTAGAGAGTAAATAGAGACGAGAAAAAAAAATATTCCGAGACCATTTTTTTAGTTTTCAGAAAAACCGTCCGATCTTACCCTGATGCACCTTACTCAAAATTACATGTTTTAATTTTCAATGAACATAGAATGGGGCTTACATAATACATACATGTATGATGAAGAATTTCTCTCGATTTTAGTAGAAAATAAATATGCTCTTCTAGTTATTCTTCTTTATTAAAATATTTAATACTGGCTGTATTTTTGTCAATATATTTTGGCTTTTCATGATATATTTTAAATTATACAATAGTAGTACGAATTCGGCATTATTTGACTATATATTTCTTGTAAGATGTCAGATGAAGCTTCCATAAACTTTCATTGATATAAATAAGTATTATGAACGGGATTAATAAAAATCCTGAATTTTACTAAGTAATAGACTAAATGAATTTATAAACAACATTTTCTGTAATATGCTCGGATAGCTATTCTTCTTTATTCAAATTATTTCATTTGGTTATTTTCAGGTTATCATTTATATGACCATAACTACTGTAAAAAAGACTTTGAGGAAATAGTGAAAAATCCAGTGGTTGCCCCAAGTAAAAATACTCATTTTTCAATATTACTTATACTTTGGTATAATTTATGTATTATTTTCTAATATAGCCTTTTCTCGTTTTAGAACATCCAGTTGATTATAGATCATATCATATATTCAAGATTAGCTACAAGTACTCCTGCATCTTCTTTTCTCAATACTGGTAATAATTTTTAACAACTTTGAATGTTTTTATTAAGGTGTTTAATTTTATATTTCATAGCCCATGTGGGACCTTTAAACACAATACAATTAAAAATTGACAAAAACTCTTTCAAAGTAATGTAATTTTAATTAAGTACGTTTTTTCTCATCAGTGGGTCAGTTAAAAGCCATAAACTTAAATATCTAAATTTATGTTAAGTATAATGTTATACTATTTGTCTATGTAGGAATTTATTCTGATTAGAGCCACCTAATTTTTAAATATTTAAGCATTGACATATGATTAATAAATTAATAATGTTATAGTAAGGTTCTTAATAGTTTAACCTCCTGAGGCCTACCGGGTCAAATACGGTACGTCAAAAAATAAAAAATGTGGAGCATGTCTCGACAAGCAACTTTAAAATAATCGTACGTGAAACGAAACCTTATATCATTGCCAACATAATAAATAAAAGAAATGACACTTCTTGTCATTTGTCGTTTGTCAAGATGGCGAAGACAAGCAAATATGTGCGTGAACCGGCCAACAAACGTAAGTAATCTGTTAATATCAGTTCAATCTTTAATAGTATTATGAATTGTAATTACTTATTTGAAAAATGACTCAATAACCTGATGATATTGAAATTCTATTTGATGCAAAAGCAAAAAACAATAACCTGGCATGCCGTTTTTCGTCGATGTTCCGCCAATGGAACATTCGGTCCTAATTATTATTATCGATGTTCCCTATTTGACTCATTCGTTCCGTAAAGCAAATGTGTTTTTTTACAGCTATGAATGAAAGTGAAATTTTTGAAATTTTGAATGCATCAGATGGAGATTTTAGTGCTGATTCGGATAACGATCCACTATATCACCCATACTTAGAGAGAAATCGACAAAATAGGTTGATATCCAGTAGTTCTGATTCAGACAATGAAGATGATATATTATCTGATAATTTTGACCACTCACAATCTCCAGCACTGTCTATTGCCAGTAGTATCACAGAACCTAGAGCTACACAGCGGGTTTCAAGAAGACTAATAAGAGGAAGAGCAAGAAACAGCAGAGGGACAAGAGGCAGAGTACTAAGGGTACAAGAAACACGTGAATCTGAAGGCGAAGCGTCTGTTCTGTCAGCAATAAATTCCGTAGCAGATTTTAATCCATTTATGACACATTTGCAAAGTCCAAATTATATTCACAGAGAACTAGAAGAGTGGGAATGGTTTAAGTTTTTAGACGATTATTTAGATGATGAAATTTTTGATCAAATGATTAGGGCCACAAATCAAACATCTGTTTTACTTACCCAAAAAAATATAGATTTAACGGTTCGTGAGCTAAAAGTATTTATTGGGATAAATATGGTCATGTCGAGCATCAATTATCCGCAAATAAAAATGTACTGGGAAAGCTCATGGCGTATTCCACTAATTGCTAATTCGATGACTCGAGATAGATTTTTCCTAATACGTACACGTTTAAAGATAGTATATGACGATGATGTAACAGAAGAAAAGCGGACTCAAGACCGCATATGGAAGGTAAGACCACTATTTGATCGAATTGTCAAGGGTTGTCACATTCAGAAAAAGGCAGAATAGCTATCAATTGATGACATGATTGTGCCCTTTTCGGGACATTGCGGTATTAGACAATACTGTCCCAATAAACCTAATCCCGTCGGTTTAAAAATATTTGTTCTCGTGAATCCATGTGGCCTTTTTTTAATATGACCGTATATGAAGGTGAGATAACATTTATAAGCTATAGAGAACAAGGTTTCAGCTTAGGAGAAGCTGCTGTTCTGAAAATGACGGAATCATTGGTTCCTGGACACTATCTTTTTTTTGACAGATATTTCTCTTCTATTAAGCTGATGGAAGAATTACTAAAAAGAGCAACGCAACTATTACGAAAAATCGTTTTCAAAGACATATATCATTTACACCTGACAATAGTTTCATTAAAAAAAATCGTGGCACATCCGAAGTTGTTTGTCTAAATAATAATCGAATTGCCATTACAAGATGGCTAAATAAAAAACCTGTAGTGATGATATCCACATGTTATGCAAACAGTAAAACGGATATATGCAAACGATGGGATAAACGACAGAAACGTTATATAAATGTGTCAAAACCAGAAGTGATAAAAGAATATAATCAGAATATGGGTGGTGTCGATCTTGCAGATCGAGTGATCTCTGTTTGTCCATCAAGATCTCGTACCCGAAAATGGACTATAAGATTTATATGTCACATGATTGACATCAGTGTTGTAAATGCATGGCTTCTCTTCCGAGGGGTCCCAATAAAGAAAAATATGCCATCTCATAAAATTCCCCAACTACGTGAGTATAAATTACGACTTGGAACAAAATTGATCGAGGAAAACGTACTGCCTCCACAAGAACCTTTTTTTGACGAAGAGGAAGGCATACTAAAAATCCAACACTTGAAGAGGAGTGTTCCTATTACACCGCTGCCTACAATGCACAAAAGAATAAATAGGGCTGATCAAATTCCAAAGATTCCAAGTAGATAAAAGACAACGATGTCGAAATAATGCACGTGGTCTTAAGACGGACGTTATTTGCAATATTTGTAAAATATACCTTTGTTTGACAAAGCTAATGAATTGTTTCGTTACATTCCATGTACATGAAATGTAGTAGAAAAATTTCTGAATTATTGACAAAAATATTAAGATAGATCTCAGAATTACCTCAGAAGTCCCTATTTTAATGTAATGAATAAAAATTTTATTAATAATATTAGAGAAGTTATTTTTTTGTTTGTGTTCACAATAAGTGGTTTATGTTTTATTGTTATTAAAATATATTTCTTTCTAAATTAACGAAATTTTATTTTACGATTTACCAAATCAAGTCTCATGAACTAAAGCACGTGCTAATCATGTGCCAAATATGCCACATGGACATTATAAGTACAGACTGAACGTTCCACATTTGACACGTCGAATAACTAATATATTAATAATAAGAGATTTTTTATTTATTTTTCTCATGGTCTTAGGTCATATAAGAGCTCGAAAAATTATCACTTGTTTAAGAATAATGAAATTCTTATGTCTCGTCCTCAGGAGGTTAACTAATTTGTTTCGATTACTGATTGTGAAAAAGTAATTTTATGTTTTAGGATACACATGTGCTAGTTCATCTGGCTCACAAATGACAGAAAGCATTGAAATTGACCAAGATCCCTCCATAACAATATTGGAAGCAGAATCAACAGGTATTAATATTTCTTTATTGTCTGGCTTGTCCACTGCTTGTTTGCTGACCCTGTTTATATTTTTTATAAGTGTCCCTTAGGTTTCTCCATTTATTTTTCATAGTTTTAACTGTAACAATATTTCAGGTTTTTAGCAACTGGTGACACATACACAACAATATCTTTCTCTTATCGTTTGGGTGAATGCACCGTTTCAAAGATAGTAACTCAAGTATGCGAACAAATTTGGAAGATACTACAGCCAGAGTACATCCCGGTTCCTTCTACTAAAACATGGTTGGAAATAGCTGAAGCATTTCAAACAATATGGGGTTTTCCTAATTGCCTCGGGAGTATTGACGGCAAGCATATTGTTATTAAATGTCCACCTAACAGCGCCTCACTGTTCTATTTTTGTTCTAATAAAAAACGATTTTCTACTGTGTTATTGGCAATAGTTGATCCACATTACAAATTTACTTACATAGATGTAGGATCATATGGTAGATTCCGATAGTACAATATTTGAGAACTCATCATTTTATCAGCTTTTAAAAAGTGGACGGGATCTGAATTTGCCAGCTCCAAAACCTTTGCCAGGTTTCCAACAGACTACACCACATGTATTCATTGCAGATGGAGGATTTAAATTAGAAACTTTTCTAATGAGACCTTTCACTAGAGACGCAGCAATGAATGACAACGATAAAAAAAGATTTAATAAATCATTAAGTAGGGCACGAGTAGTAGTAGAATGTGCGTTTGGCATTTTAGCACAAAAATTTAGAATATTCTTGAGGCCCTTTGAAACAGATTTGAATAATACTATTAAAATTGTTAAAGCTGCAGTATGCTTGCATAACTTATTGCAGATACAAGAAGGTGCACACACATACGAAAATAAACAATTTTCGGACACTTTAAGAGCATTCGTACCAATGCATGCCAATAGACATAGGGCAGACTTAGCAGCGTTTAATGTTCGATGACAATTTGTAAATTATTTCAAAGAAAATTAAAAACATAAAATGTATGCCTGTATGAAATATAAACAATAAATTTCTTACCCACATCCTTGAAGTTTTCCACTACCTCTTTTTGAAATTCCAATCGTATAATACGGGATAGTCTCGAATAGAATGCAAAAATAATTTAGTATTTTCGGCATCCATGGCGCGAAAATCTGTCCTCACCGACAGAACGCGAGCTGACGCTTTGCGATGCGGAACATCACTAGCGAAACGTATGCGTCTGTGTAACGGCTATTTCGCAGGTCCTTGCGAAACAATACTGACAAGGACGCAACTATTTCATCTATCTATGTGCTAGAGTGAGACATATCATATGCGAAAACCTGCCACACTACTTACAGTTTTTTCGTTGTTTCGCTACCGCATACGAATGCGTAGGTGTACTAAAGGCGTTACAGATTTGATTCGCAGTGTGGAGCGAACTCATTTAAAAAATAAAGCACCGATAAAAATTGTTATTGGGATAGGAGCTAATTTTTTTAATTAACAATTTTTAACAAAAACTTTAAAAAGCTTTTTACAAATCTCACAGTAATAGCTATATTAGTTGCAGAAATATAAAGTACTCAAAACTCTTTCAGAAAAGAAATTATCGTTCCTTCCTTATTGTGTAGAAACACAATAAGTCATGTACAGCATACATATGATAAAATTCTTTACACTTGTTATGCTTCGTGGATAGTATCTAAAAAAGTACTCTGTCAATGCATATTATAACAGTTTATGAATTAAATAATGTAATTATTCTTTTACAGCTAACAAATTGACCACAAACTGTAGGTGTTTTATAAAAAAATGAGAAAAATGGCCATTAAGGAAAACAAGTCATAGAAACCATTTTTGCAAAGGTTGGATGCTGCTAAGAATCCGAGCTGCAGCCAATTGTTTTATGATTTTTTTAAATAAAATGACGCAACAAGCCCAAGATTTTCTACTCATGCAGTTAAAAATGGCAAATAGAAAGAAGAAGACAATGAGATACACCACCAACGAAAAGCATTTGGCATTGACCCTATGTAGGAGAACCCAAAAGGTTACAGGTTGTTACAAAAAATATTTTGCCCAACAAAAGAACATTAAACCATCTTGCTGAAAATATACTATTAAATGTTTGTTTTGTCTTGTATATTCAATGTACGGCTAAATGGTAATATTTTTAGAGTACTAAAACACAAAACAAAAAATTGGGACACAAAAAAGAAACTGTGCTCTATTTTGTTCAATGAAGTTAGTATTACACCTCATCTCACTTATGTTGAGTCCTAAGATGAGATAAGAGGTTTTAAAGACTTTGGGTATGGAAAAGAATGGAAGTTTTGCGATCATACGTTAGTATTCATGCTAAAAGGAGTGTGCTCAAACTGGAGACAGCCACTGTGCTACTTTTTTGTGAGGAAACAACTGCAGCTGCTACAGTAGGATTTTACAGGAAGTGGTCACTAAAGTGTTAGCATCAGATTTCATACCTTTAGCTATTGTGTGTGACCAAGGCTCGACATTTAGAAAAGCCATAAATATAATAAAAATGGAGACTGCAAAAGGATTTTAAATAAGGAATATAAGGGTGAGTAGATAATTTCACTTTACAAATAAAAACATAAATAGCCTTAGCATGTACATTGTCTGCATAGCCATTGGAAATGATCTGGAATTAAAAGTATCATTATAATATCAAAATATCTATCTGTATGTCAGTCGAGGTTGTGGTCTATCTGTGTGCCAAATTTCATCTAAATGTGTTCAGTTGTTAAACTACAATTGCCTAACAAACATCTAAACTTTAACATTTATAAATTAGTAAGATTGGGTGTGTAATCCATGAAATTAACTTGTTGAACAAAATATTTGATTGTTTGCAGATAGAACTATTGAGATATCAGGACAACAGTTACGTGTTACTTACTTAAAGGGCTTAGAAACAACCTTCTTACAAAAGACATGCTTTACAAAGGCAAAGTTGCCGCATGGAAGGATATAGAAACCGTATTTGACTCTGATTGCCAACTAGGTCATACTAGAATTCATTCAAAAGTTAACAGAGCACCATGTTTACGCAGCAAAAATGAATAAGATGAAAGTTAGCGTAGCTGCCCAAACTCTGAGTGCAACCAGCAGTGGAGTGCTTAAATACATTGCATTGTTCAGTAAGTTTTTACATCGTTATCAATATGCATTATCAAATAATCTACACAAATAAATCGAATTGCATAAATAACTATAATAAACTACAGGCTGTTAGTGTAAACAACGTTATCCTTGAAACCAGTGGTTTGGCTTCAGTTATAGAACGTTAATTCAATAAAAAATAACAACATTTTTTTTAGTAAAATCTCAATTTTTCCTTCATTCCTCAATTTTTGCCTGTCCTAAGCCAGGATGAAAGTATGAAGGAAAAGTTACATCACAAATTATGTGTACCTATTGTGTTTTTATTGGAATGTTGTGTAGGCAGCTAGCGCAGGCGGTGATCTTTACAGTGATTACATCACTCTGGCGCATATGGTATCCATGAATTTACGGACGGTGTCGGACAATCACTTTTTAAATTTTATGAAAGAAAATAGGTTTTTTTTTATAATTCGGATAAATATTTTATATTAAAACCAGCTATCTATGGTTTTAGTGACAACGGTGTTTACACTTACACCTTGTTTATAAATAAATCAAATTCACGTGTCTATCGGTCTGTTTTTTCGGGCTAATCTCTGAAACAGCTGGACCGACTTTGACAGGACTCCCTGGCAAATAGCTGATGCTGATGTAATATTTGAATGAATTCACACTATATATTTAATATTAACTTTTCACAAAAAATGCACTCATTGGTGCTAGCGTTAATCGTACCCGGGTACCGGGCTCGCATACTATGAAATTTACAGCTAGTTTATATTTAGCTTTTTATTTATTTAAAAAATATCTTAAATTCTCAATTAGTTTTTCATTTCCAGAGCAATTAAGAGAACTATCTACATCATCCCAAAAGGATAACAAATCTCATAATTGTTTGGATTCTGATATTTCTTTATTGATAGATATTTTGTATTGATTATTTTAATTGGTCCAAATTTTACTGACCCTGGCATTTTACTTTGGATTCCGATTTGATAGTTGTAGTGATTTAGTACACGGCATTTGAATTTAAATTTGTTGTGTCAGTGAAGTGAATTGAAGTGATCTTCAGCAATTCAGGGAACAATGGGTAAGTGTAATCTTTGATTGAATTTAGTTTGTAAGTAAAATTCATGAGACAAAACAAGCATGATGTGACTTTTATAAACTTTTATTTATAGTTGTAATGTTTCACGTGCATTTATGAAATTTTAGAATTATAAACTAATACCTGTCTATCTATTTATGGTGGTAATACTTATTTTATCTACATCTATAATTAAAAAAATTGCTTCCTTTTGGTTGTGTCAACTGCTGAAGACGGACCAAATATAGCTGCTAAAATATACCCAAAAGTTTGTTGAAGAACATTGAAAACAGGTAGCTACATAATAATGAACTTTCGATACAGGTAGTACATTAGGTAACTAAGTAACTTTGCTGACTAACGAAAACATCTACAATAAGCACTATTATCGAAAATCTTAAAATAATAAAAATAATGCATTTCAACATAACATAACAATATAAAAATTATAATAATGTTACGAGCTTGAGGTTCGTGACAATAAAAATTGCCGATAGAATTACCTAAATTAACACTTTAATTTTCTTTACACAAATTAAAACTTAAAACACTAATAATTAAGCACACTAATTCACTTTATTCCGCTCCGAAGCTTCGCTTGTCTCGCCAAATTCAATGCTTCCCCGATCGCGTATTGCAGCGCCTTTATATAGGGCTCTTCCACGAAAACATCCAGAATATTACTTACGTACTTATAGGAATCTAATATACCTAATCCAATTTATGGAAGTACATAAAAATCTAAGAAGGGCAGTCAGTGATAAGTGAAATTTGTTTTGTATGTATGTTGTTTAAAAAAAAACACTACACAACAAAATAATGAAACTGAGAAGCAACCGATCTGCCGAAACACTATGACATCTCATAGTCTTTTTTAAAGTCCAGGTATTATATTGGTCATGTCATACGAGAACCAGGCAAGTGTCTAATAAGGTCTTTTGAAGAAAGAACCATACAGATATGAGTGAACCTGTCCAGACAACTAAATACTTTTTAGAATTCCGTACCCAAAGGGTTACCAACGGGACCCCATTACGAAGCCTCCGCTTTCCGTGTGTCTGTCTGTCAGCAGGCTGTACCTATCTCATGATCCGTAACAGGTAGATGGTTGCAATTTTCACAGAACGTGTATTTTTGTTGCCGCTATAACAACAAATAGTAAAAATAAATTTGAAAAGGGTTTCCTACTAGAAAAAAGAAACCTATATTATTGGCTTTTTTGCTCGTGTTGGGAGACCTCGAGCTTCTAGTGGTGCTGGGACTAGTGGTGCTGGGACTAGTGGTGACGGAGTTAGTGCATGCAATTGAGGGAGGGCGGGAGGTGCTCTTCAATCCTGGTAAGACGCATCATTGTATTTATTTAGCGGAAGGTTGCAAGGAAATTTTTATTTTTTATGATAGTAATATGTATATTAAATCTTGTACGATAGATCGGAAGTCCAACTCGCACTTGGCTGGTTTTTATGTTGTTTTTTAAATATTTGTTTATATTTATTCTTACCACAGATTACTTACCAAATAAATTTTTTTTTTATATTTAAGAATATTGAATGATTATTAATAAAGAAGGTTGATTTAAATATTCAATTATTGATATTTCATTACAATTTAATAGAGGTTTATGGTAAAGGATAAAAACATTGTTTTACTTTTAACCTTTTGAGCGCCACGCCAAAAACTCACTACCGTGTCCTGTACGCCAAAGCGAAAAGTAAACAAAAATACCTACGAAAAAAACAGTGCTGCCAAGAGTTGATACATCGATAACACAAAATAACTTGTTTTTGTTGGTTTTTTATACAATAAATGACTCTTTATAATCGGGTATGTTTTATTTAATCTTGTGCTGTCTTCCACTCTTTTTATATATGTACTTTGTACATAAATAAAAAAGAAACAATAACAATAAAATGGTAGTAAACCACAACACTACTCTCCATCGTGATGACGTCACTGTCACGACTGGACGACAACGGCGTAGCTGACCTTTCTTTTTGAAACTTTCTTAGAGATGTAGCCGTGTCGCACGTTGTGTATCGATTTCAAAATCGATCTAACCAAAATATACAGACATCGATTCTAAATATTTTATGGCGAGGCGTAGGCCAAGTGAATCACAGAAGAAAAGTCTTACGCTCTTATGACAATGGGGGTTTCATATGATGCTGATGTTGCTAAATGATTTTGGATTGAGAAAGAAAATCGCACAACACAAAATGAAAAATTGCTCTTCATACCTTAAGTAAAGAAAACACATTTATTATTTGTAATTATATATTATTAAAATAAAAAGGTACATAATTATTCACTAATCAACAATTGTATATAGGTAATTATTCGCACTAGAAAAATCAGTCTTATAATATTAAAATATTGGTCATGGAATAAAAAATCAGTAATTATTATAAAAATCAACAAATGGTACATAATTATCGACCAATCAACAAATGTATATAATTATTCGCACTAGAAAAATCAGTCTTATAATATTAAAATCTTGGTCAAGGAATAAAAAATCAGTACTTATTACAGAAATCAACAAACGGTACATAATTATTCATTAATCAACAATTTTAAATAATTATTTACCCTAGGTCTAGTCTTAAAATATTAAAATCTTGGTCTTTAACTCAATCAGTACTTAATATAGAAAACAACAATTAAAAATAATTCATAAATTATAGGTAATATTAGTCTTAAAATAATAAAAATCTTATGGAATAATAAAACAAATGTTTAGCTGTCCAAAGCAAATTTTCTAACGTGGTAGAGCCATGCTGCAGTTATATTACGAGAGAGTAGTTGTAGCACGAATGGGTCGGCTCAACCGGGGAAGAACCACGCTCTCACGGAATACCGGCGTCAAATAGTAGCTTAATGCTGCTGTATTTCGTATGGCAAGTGTAGAGAACCGGAGACCCTCTTTACTGGAAACTAGGCATTCCATCTAAGTCCTCACGGATGAGAGCGCATCTGCATTTTGATTCGTAATCGAGGATAGATGTAAATGTATGGGCCACAGCAACCACTTACCATCAGGTGGACTGCGTGCTCGTTTATTACCCTATGCTATAAAAAAGAAATTAACCCTAAAAAACTATAAAGTGTATTCCTACCTCATTGAGGTAGAGTTAATCGAAAATGAAAAACTTTGGTTTCATGATAATTTTAATGTGCCTATTATGAAACGCCGCTACATTATGTATCAAATTATTAAAATAATAGAAAACAACTCATAAAATCGCTAAGCAGGTACGGATTGTATAATACATATTTTTCCTTTATTGAAACTGTCACTAAAAACATATAAGTACTAAATTATGTGCATATATTTATTTCTACTTGGATATTTTCAATTTTTTATTTATTTAGGTAGGTAACTTTTGTACGGCTATACTGTAAGACGCGAAAGTGTTAGTAACAAAAAAAGAACGTCGCCGCCGAGAACAAAAGAGCAATTTAGTACTAAGTCGACACGCTATTTTAGATCTTAATGTTTTACCATTACATTGATTTTTAGTCTACTCACAATACTACTCGAAACGATTGTAATTCCGAAAGGTAGAAAATCGATATACTATTTTGGACCTTAATGCTTTTTCATTACGTTGATTTATGATTTATGGTCTACTCACGGTTCTTACTTTTTATGAAGGATTATGGTGAAATATGGCTTAAGATATTTATTTCGCTAAACAATATTACCATTCGCTTTTTTGACAGAAAAAATATCTGCTAGTTGCAGTATAAAAGTAAACGAACAAGATGAGTTATTCTAAACTCGAAAACAAAAACATAAAAAATGTGCTCACAAGAGTCGCCCGGGAAACAGTTCCATTATGTATCGAACTTATTATATTTAAAATTAAACAAAATATAAAATAATAGATACATAAAATAGGCAATATGCATGTAGTAAAAGAAGTTTAATTTATTAGGAACTTAAGACACTTACCTCACTTAAATCTTCAGGTAATGATTCAGATTCCGAAAATTCATCATCGTCGACGCTTTCCAAAATCCGAATGAGTTCTGAGGCTGAGGAATCGTTCATATTGCACTGCACTAATTTTTCCGCTAATCGCTTATGACGTCATCAGCGTGTCGTCTATACTAGACTACGGCGCCCAGGGAACTGATTTTCGATGTCTCGCTAAGGATGCGCCAGAGTTGAGATATTAGATTTATTATGCGAAGATAATTTGATAATTTTTTTAATTCATGTAGCTAATTATAGTTTTATATTTCTAACCTTTTGTTTTATTTAAATATCAATAATAATAGAAAAAAAAATAACACGTTTGAGCTTAATTTTGAATAGTTTTCAATAAATTTATGCCTAACGCATTACAACACTAGCGGTCTAACATAGACGACTTTGGCGTGCTGGACATAGTATTTGCTTAGATAAAAATCCATTTTTTTTTAGTTCAATGTTTCTTAGTACTTGTGGCTCTAGGAGACTTGTTTTTTATACTCACATGTTGCTGGGTTATTCGTTTTTGAGGGGTGTAGAATTAAAATACCAGTAATAATTTTCCAATGTCTATATTTCATATTTTTGTGGGCCGGGTTTTTTGTCAACTATAGACGTCGTTGGCGCTCAGGGCACGCAGGTGCTGGTCACGTATAGACGACTTTGGCGCTCAAAAGGTTAAAAAGATTGTCGTTGTACTAAGACTAAAAAATTAAGGGTGTCCGGCCTTTTACCGCAATGTCCGGCTAAACTCGCTGGTCTGTCCGGCTTTTCGGTTTTAGATCTGGCAACCCAACTCACATCACATGCTCGGCTCGGCTGAGCTCGGCTCGGCCACCCGAAACTACCCGTTACTTTGTGTCATGAAGTAGTAATATAATATACATTCGTACCTAGATGCCTATTACTAAAGAAAATAGTAGTAGCTTTGATATGGTATTATAGTATATTTTGGATTAGATTAGATTAGATTTCTTACAGAATAATACGTAAAAACAAAAAAAAAACTACATAAAAACTAAGGAGCGCAGCAACCTACCTCAGATATTAGGTTAAAAATAGAGATAAGTGCACATACGATTTAGTTTATAAGTTGTACATATTTTATAGCCTTCGTTATCAATAGCATAAACAGGCCAGCCCCCAAACTAAGTTACAAAAGTTTCGTATCGAATCTCTTTCACGTCTTTTATTTGTTTGGACTGACCACGTGACTTACGTTCAGTGACGTCATTCGTTACCGATTGTAGTTGTCAACTTGGCTAGGGGGGCGTTGTGAAGAGAATCACAGGTATTTTGCTGTAGAGCTTTTGTTAACTGCTTTTATGGCATCCTTTGTCGGTATATTTAATTGAATCCTGTACACATACAGAATAATCTTTTGTGTTACAGAGCCAAACAAGGATAAGCGAATGGGCAAAAAGACCAGCGTACGGCCAAGTGTCGCTCGCAAGCAGGGATGCAGAGTAAAAGGGAGATTTTCAAATGCAAATAAAGAAAATATTCCTGCAAGAATGAATATGTCTGAATCGTAAGTTCTTTTTCGTGTATAATAATTATTTTCATGCCAATAACATTGTAGAAAAATGTACAGTTCACAGTTTATAATTTCTCAAGTTTTAAGTTGTATTTGAGTTTATAATCTCTCAAGATACTTTATTATTTAACGGAGTTTGCAATCATCTGGTGACATACACCTTTCTTTTTTAGGTGCTCTACGGATATATCGAGAAATACCGCAAATGTCGCCAAAAACCCACGTCAAGCAAATATTGTGGCAACTCTTCCGCCAAACTGGTAAGTGATAAGATTAGAAAAGTAAACAGTGTTGAAAGAAGTAATATTTACTTAGTAAGAAGAACCCATAGCGAGTATGTGTATTCACTAATTTTTAATCTTTGTGATTTAGGTCATCGAAGAAAATGATGGTTCAAGCGGAAGTACATAATGCACCCTCAAGATCAAACTGGAAAAATGCTAATAAAGATGTAGTAGAAGCAGATGTTCACGAAGTACCTCGCAAAATGATGCACTCCTATAACTACCAGCATCAAAGCGATTGGGATATCATAGAGCCTAACGTTGCTTTTGCACGTAACACACCGGATTTGTGAGTATAATCAGTTTCAGAAATCAAAATAATGTTTTTACAGGATCACACCGGTCAAGCAGACAGAACTGACGTCACCATGCAACCAATCCAGCGATTCAAATTCGAATATAAATCTACCTGTTGAGATTATTAGTAAGGATAATAGCAACGTAAATACAAGTCTGGAAGGTAATAGGATGGTTAATATAGCATATCTCTTCGACCAAATTAAAAATATATCGCACCATCCCTTTCAATGTAATTTTCAACATTTAGGTTTTGTAAAAGAGCTAAGAACTGGATTTTATTCAGAATTTTATTTTAAATGCCGGTTGTGCAATAAAATGGAAAAAATTAGATCTCAAACATGTTATCAAGGATCTAAAGAAAACCCAATAAATTTAAATATAATAGAAGGCGTTTCACAAACTGGTAGTATAAACATGCCCAACATGAGTGAAACATATTATATAAAAAAAATAAAGAGCTTTATACAATTCAAAAAAATATAGCATTGCAGTTTACGTTAGAAGCAGGTGCGGAAGAAAGGCGTCTTGCTTTTGAAAATCATGAAGTCGATAGTCAAGGTGTACCCTGTATAACCGTCGTAACAGATGGCTCATGGGCTAAGCGGATCTATGGAACAAATTTTAACTCTTTGTCTGGTGTGGGTTGCATTATAGGGCATCGGACGAAAAAATTTTTATTTATTGGAGTCAAAAATTCTTACTGTTGCATTTGCGCGTTAGTTAATAATAAAAAAAGGCCAATACGAACGCATGAATGTTTTAAAAATTGGTCTGGTCCATCTACCGAAATGGAGACATCGGCCATTGTCGACGGTTTTAAAGCCAGCATGGAAATGCATGGGGTAAAGTACACAAAAGTAATAGGAGACGGAGATAGTAGCGTAACGAACGCTTTCAGAGATTCGTTGATATATGGTCCCGATGTTCACATTAGGAAAATAGAGTGCAGCAACCATTTACTTCGGAATTATTCGAACAAACTTAGAAAGATCGGAAAAAAAACTGAAAATAAAGTTGGTTTTGTACTTGTAAGTAATAGGAAAGTACTTTTAGATAGACTACGGCGCTTTTATAATGCTGTAACTGGCGCTGTTGCACACGCAAGACAACTTGAGGTACCAACAGCAGAGAAGCTTTTAGTTCTCAAGGAAGACTTACGAAATGGTCCATGCCACGTATTTGGTTGGCATGATATTTGCAAACCATATTACTGCAGAAAAAAAATAGAAGAAAATCTTGTTCCGCAACCGAAATCTAGCGGCATGTGGCATGATATTTATGATAATCTTGGGTGGCTGCTTCAAAACGCTGAAAGTTTACTGTTGAAGGAAACAAATAATCCTGTGGAACAATTTAATGCAATTGTTGCCAAATTTCTTGCATGAAAAAGAGTAAATTTTACACTCAGAGGCACCTACGAAGCAAGATGTTTTGCAGCAGCAGGACATTATAATTCAAAAGATTATACCTTTATGCGTAAAGTGCAAAATGCTGTATGTCCAGGGGCGCCTGACAATACGTATACATACACCGATAAATATGTACAAAAAAAAACTAAAATACTAACAAAACAACGAAAAAGAACCGCTGCAGATAAAGCGCAAGGTAATAAAAGAGCTAAGCGCTTTAAAATGGCAGACAAACATTATGGTGATGTAATCGAGGTTCCTGATATGCCTCAGGAAGAATTTGAAAAAAAGAGAACGGAATTTATCCTTGCCCTTAAACTAACTGCTGAAGAAATTTGTGTGTTAGAAAAAAGAACAATCGCCCAGGGTAATTCTGATCTATGGATTGTTGAGTGCAAAAAAAGATTAACAGCTTCCATTTTTGGCCAAGTTTGCAAAATGAAGGACAAGGCCTTGTACATCTTTAGTAAAAACCATTTTATATTCAACCTTTACAGGTAACGACGCAACAAGATATGGCAAAACTCATGAAGCGACTGCAATAGCAGATTTAGAAAAAAAATTGATTAAACTGTTACACCATGCGGTTTGTTTATAGATTTAGAGAATATAATTCCCGTATATTGGTGCGTCTCCTGACGTTTTACTAGAGACCGACAGTATTGTTGAGGTGAAATGTCCAGCGTCACCAGCAGATTGTACACCAATGGAGGCAATCCGTTTAAAAAAAAATAACATTTTGTACGGAGACCGAAGACGGTATAAAATTAAAAAATACCCATAATTACTATTACCAGGTACAAGGCCAACTCAAAATAACACAACGAAAATACTGCTATTTCGTAGTATGGACTCCAAAGGGCATCGAAATAGAAAAAATTGAATTTGATCCAACATTTTGGACACAAGAAAAAATAAATAAATTAGAAAAGTTTTATTTTAAATGTGTGCTACCTGAACTGATAGATCCTCGTTTCCCTAGAAAACTGCCTTTCCGAGATCGATTTTAATTTTACGTCAGCGGTTTGTTATTACCGCCACTATAAAAAAAGTTAAGTTACAGCCTATATACATTCCACTGCTGGCCACAGGCCTCCCGTCATTTCTGAGGGGGTTTTTAGAGCAAGGAAGTGTCCGCCGCGCTGCCCCAATGCGTTGTGAACGTTGGCGAACTTCACATGTCTTCGAAATATTTTTTCCTTATTCCTCAGACATGCAAGTTTCCTCACGATGTTTTCCTTCACCGCCGAGCACGTGGTAAATGAGAACTTAAGATTGCAATTAACAATTTCATTGCCGCCGGCGGGGATCGAACCCGGGTTACTCGCGTTCTGTTATATTTATAGCTAGCGAGCGTTAATCCATAAATAAAAAGATCTAAATTTTATTTTTATTTCGCTAACTGCGTCCGTACTTATATGAATTTGATTTACAATCGATCTATAAATTGTAGTTTTCTTCTAAATACTTCCCTTGTCTAGACGTGTTATTTGGACTTCTGTAGGGAAGTCTGTGCTGTTAGTATTCCGTTTAGGTACGTTACCAGGCTGCACTAAAAGTATCGGGAATGGAATATTTCCACTGTTCCTGTCATATTAAAATATTTTTAATTGAAAACTCCTTGGTTTTAAAAATCGAATACCATTCATTTATTTAAAAAAAGATTCTCGGTCTTGTTACAAGGTTTTGTCAAACTTGTTTAGTCGTTGAGAAAATGGAATTGAACCCGAAACAAAAAACCAGTCACGAGTTTGGGTGTTCGAAAATGAGTTAAAGCCAACAAAAATTGTTCGTTCACGGAGTGTTGATAACTTTGTTGCAAAAAAAAAATGGTGGCCACGTTTGTCTCCAAAACCGGCCATGTTACGACTATTCCTCTTAAGGTACAAAGAACGGTTAATGAGGAATGGTATGCTAGCATTTGTTTGCCACAGGTCGTTTCTGAACTCCGTAAAGAGAACTGCAACCGCCGCATCATCCTCCATCACGACAATGCGAGTTCTCAAACCGGACACAGAACAAAAGAGTTTTTAGAGCAAGAAAACATAGAATTATTAGACCATCCGCCGTACAGCCCCGGCCTAAGCCTTAATGATTTCTATACTTTCCGTAAAATAAAGAATAAATTGCGTGGACAGAGATTTTCATCACCTGAAGAAGCTGCGGCACGCCTACAAAACGGCCATTTTGGAGACCCCAGCTTCCGAATGGAATGGTTGCTTCAATGATTGGTTCCATCGTATGGAAAAATGTGTCAAATTTCGCGGAGAATACTTCGAAAAGCAATAAATACATTTTTAAATTGTAATGTTGTGTCACTTCCTTGATTCCCGAAAATTTCAGTGCCGCCCTCGTACCATTTTGATAGACGTTTGTGCTTGTCCCCGTAGAGACACAATGCCTATTGTTGATAACTTTGTAAGTACTAAGAGAATATTTAGTTTCGCGCGAACCGCCCCCGAGTGAGCACAAGTTCTGTGTCCGACAATGACGTCGTCTAATGTACTTAAGTGTTCAAGTTGCAATATTGTGATTAGTGAAGTCTTGGCCTTTATTCAAAATAAGGCAGATGTGATGGATGAGGAGAGCTTTGTACGTATCTGTAGCAGTGCATTTGAAGCTGATGATATTGATAAAGCAAAATGCCTTCTTTTTGAATCATTGCCATCCGTAAAACGAAAAAATATTCTTCGAAGAGCAAGCTGCTACAATCTAACCGCCGCAATGAGGGCAAAAAACAAAGACGTCTGGTCGATATAATTTCCCTATTTAAAGAAACAGATCCTGTTGTTGTACCAATTTTCGTTGCGAAAGATTTGCAAAAATTGCCACCGATTACTTTCGACCACGTAGACGTTACACGATTATTGAAAGACATTATTACATTGCAAACAGATATTCAAATGATGAAAGATGTATACGTGACAAAAGAAAATCTAGAAAAACATATTGAGAAGTATCTTAATTTAAAAACAACAGCTACATCTTTTAATTTTGCGGGTAGACGTAGAGATACACACTTATTTAACAATGATCATATGTTTGGAAACAGTGGGCCAATAGGTCTTGAATTTACGTCACCGCCGTGACTCACTTACAATCGGCTATTAATAAGAACGCAAATGATACTGGCGATACAACTATCCCTTTCTGTAAGGACAGCGAGAGCGAGCAAATAAATAAACCTCTCATTACTGCAGCGAAAGATATGATAAACGAGGCAACCATCCCATTCCCCCAAAAGGGCGTGTGCAAAACAAACACATAAGTGACAACAACAAACAGGCGATCTCTCTCATTCCTTCAGAGAGAAAGCTTGAGAGCGGTGTGAGGTCTAATGGCACCGAACAGGTGAGGGCGGATGTTCAGAAGTTGACGTCATTTACGTTCAATAATTCCGCAAGTCCTAAAGCAAGTAATAATGATAATAATTTATCAAATCGAGCGGTAGTCGAGTCAAATGGGCCTTATAAAGATTTTACGGCCGTATCTTGCGATAAACAAAAGTCATTAGCTGATGTGGTTAAGCAGAGCGGGCCTTGGAAAAAAACGCAATTACGGAGCCGGATATTAAATTTAAAGTT